AAAGCTGTGAGCCTGGTCGTTTGTCACTGAATGCTTCCTGGGACTCTGCAATACTCAACATAATTGACACCTGTAATTTTGCCAAATTTCAGCTCAAGTTAACAACTGTCCATCTGCCTAAATGCCTCGAGCAGCTCCAGTAATTTAAACAGGTCCAGCACATTTCTGTATTGGCTGCTTCATGAGCTTCATAATTCTGTGTTATTCTCTGTGCTGTATGGGATGTATGAAATTCTGTTGGTACTGTGGTTTTCAGACACAAGCAAAGCAAGAGTTAATTCTTATTTTTGTTGAAGTACTAAGTGGGAAGCTAGGTCATGCATAAATCCTCATTGTGCTAGGTGCTGTACAAGCAAAGAATAAAAATGATCCCAGGCTCAAGGCTGCTCTGTTAGTAGCTTGTGTCATAATTAAATTTTGTTAGGACACTTTAGAATTTCCCTTCCTCGTAAATGAAATATCCATATACATTTATATCTCCATAATAAAAGAGAAAACCTGTACACTTTTATTGTGAATGATAAAAAAGAAAATATATTACTACTTTCCAAGTAACTTGAATGTAGCAATTGGAATATGTGGGGGTGACGGAAAGGATCTTTGTTTCTTGTATACTTCTAGGTTATATAGACCTAAAGTTGTCCACTTTATAGAAAAAGGAAGAAGTACTTGTTGTGAAAATAGTCTTATATGGGGCATACTGAATTCAGGTGGAGAGCGCAGAGCAGGAGCTGGTGCCCTTTAAAAATCAAATATTGTGTCTTCATGAATAAAGCTCTGACGATAAAGATAAGAGAAGAAAATACAGCAACCATGTGATACATTAGCAGAATGTTTTACAAAGTCCCCCCACAAAGCACCCGCTGGTCTTGAAAAGCCTAACCAGCCCAAGTGAGAAACTATTCACAAATTTAGTATTCAGATTACATACTCTGCCTTTTCAACTGCTCTCTGTACAATGAATGCCTGTACAACTACAGTAACAGACACAGATCTACAGTTTCTGTGGCCTTTGAGCTATTATGAGTATTATGCCTCTCCATAAATTACATCTGCATGTCCTGAAAATACCAACTGTTTTAATAGGAATTAATCTATAGGCTTTTATTTTGGTGAGATACACGGGGTACAGTATGTTGTGTCCCTTTTAAAATTAATAGAGTACGCTCTGAAGGTATTCAAGGATGTTCATTATTTTCTTTATAGGTCTCTTTATTGATGCATATAAGCATAAAACAGTGCTTCACTGTAGTAGAGAGGAGGAGATGGAATAACGGATAGATTAGTGCTTATATGGTTTTTAGGTTGCCCAACGCACAGTTAAGTAAAGAAAGGTCTGTGTTTGTCCTCTTCAAAGTATATTGGGACTGGATCCAGTTTGTCTTCAAAGTGCCCCTTCTGTGGCTAGAGAAGAGAGGGTTCAGTCTAACAGCCAGAAAGCGATGCAGGGGTCTGCTGCTCTGCTGTGTTCGCTGCTGGCCGAGGCAACAGTGTGTCAGATGCATCTTTTTTAATTTGCTAAGTATAAATAAGTCTGCAGCTTATGCTGTGGTGAGATACTATTTATGTGAGCACCTAATAGGAGCTTTTGAGCATGAACTCACAGAACACCTTGACCTTATACAGGCATATAAAAAGAGGAGAAATAGAAAATTTAAACCAGAATTTACATAAAAAGTGCGGTGGTTCTTTTGAATAGTAATTCTCACACACATGCATGTGCACGCACATGCGCATATAGGGGTGAAGTGTTTAAATATTTGGCTGAGAACAGGCTGAGCTCATCAAACCTACCAAAGCACTTTGCTGTCAAATGATGAGGAATTAAACTCTCCAGCACACAGGAGGGGAATTGAGGCCCATGGAGACTGAGCAGATGCCTGAGAGGACATTATGGGTCTCCAGTAGGTGGCTGTTGGCACAGCCTGTGATCCCTGGGACAGCTGGCCCAAGGCAGGCAGAGCTCACAGGAGCTCCAGAAATGGCTCTTTCAGAGGTGTGCCAGAGTGACCTCTGTAATATGACAGAACTCCCTGACAAAGCTGAGAATCACTCCTGGGACACTGCTTGACAGAAAAAACAACCTCTCATTGCAATAATTTCTCCATTTTAGAAAAGGAGGACTGAAACAGGAAATAATGACTTGGCTGAAATTACGCAGAAGACCTCTGGCTGTGTTTGGATTTGAGTCCTGGTCTCTTGATCCCCAAGCCATCACTTGATCCTCAAGATCATTGCAGCTGCTCTGCGGAGTATGTTGATGTAAATCACTATGGAGCTCTTGCTGCATCCACCAAGCCTTCTACACTGAAACCAGTGATTCACCCCGTGCTGCTGTAGCCAGGACGCGCTCATCTCTGCAGCCCTTGGAGTTAACAAGCTGGTTCTCGAAGGCAAGCCCTGTCACCTTATTCCCTGCCCCTTACTTTTCCTTAGGTCACTCCTTCTTGTTTTCACAGCTTTGTTTGGTTTCAAAAGCTGATGGAGCAGCAGGATTAAAAAAATCAGAAATATTTACTGTAGAGGATGGGTCTGGCTTTTCCCATCAGCTTCCATGGCTCAAGCAGGTTCTAACAGCTTTGGGAGAAAAGCTGTTAGCTATTAAATTATTACCTGTAAGGAGAGCCAGCTGGAAGCTTTCAGTTTTCAACATTTTGATGAAAAGCACCATAAAAATCTTGACAACAAGACTTGTAGCATTTCAATGACATGTTTTGCATTTGTCCCTGCTTTTTAATGGCCTGTAAAAGTGATCAAAGGCTTCAAAATGCTGCCGAGACCCACATCTCAGGAATTTTGACCCCCCAAAATGAAGGGGGGGGAAGGCAAAACTCAAAGTGTCTGCTGTTGAGGGAATTCATTTGGACAGCTTTTGAGAAGTCACTTCCCATCTGGAGGAGAGTGTCCACAGGGAGAGTTATTCGGCATAAACTGTTATGGTATAATTACCCAGCTCCAGCTATGCCAGTCTATTTGCTGGTGTAGGCAAGCCAAGTCTAGTTGTTGAAACGTAGGCGTGGGAAACAAGAAGTGTGCTTTCTAGGCTCAGCTCTTTGGCCTTGGGCCGGTCCCCTAACCTTTCTGCCTCCTTCCTATGGAAAATGAGAAGAGTTAAATTAACCCACTTCACAGGTGTGGTGTAATGACTAATTGGCTAAAATTTGTAGCGCTGGGGAGAGAGCGAGCTGTTGATTAACTTTCGTGTCTTGGGCTGAGTGAATAATTTAGTGTCTTCCTCCAAAGTGGAGTTTGTCTCACTCTCAGGATTGGGTGGCTCATTTGATGTGAAGCGACAGTGCTAAGAAAACCTGGGGTTTGCCTTGTTGTCTCTAAAAACAGTATTGCACTTGTGTGTAGTTAGACCAAGAGTTAAGGCTTTTGCTTCAAGATTTTGCAGTTAAGATTTTCCTTGAAAGCAAAATTTCAAATTTCCAGGCACCCAGAGCCTTTAATACACAAAGAACGTGGGTATGTAATGATGGAGGTACTTCAGTGCATGTCTGAAACTCAGTGGTAAAGTGCACGTGTTACTCCCCTTAGTACCAATGAAAATCATGGATAAGTCTCCATTATTCCCATGGGTTGCTCTGTTGGGTGAAAAGGCTCAAGGTTGTATGGGCAGCCTGAATTATGATGCTTCCTAGTGTTTGCGTGCTTAACTTTGCAAATTTAAATTTAATAATACCTGTGTATATCGTGCATGACATACATAACCTCAGCTCCTTAATGGACAGTAAATTCTGGTGTCTCATGATGGCATTACCACGGTCATCAGCACCTAGCAGCTCAAAGAGAAGAAACCAGGACAATGCTATTGCATCTGATCCAGGACCTGTGGAAAGCAGGGAAAACTGTGAGGAAGCACATCAGACATTCACCCTCAGCCAGCTGTGGTGGGTTTGGGTCAGGCCTCTGAGTGGGTCTGTGGGGGTAATTCCTCGCTTAAGGGGATGCCTCTTCACTGTGGGGATGTTCCCTCACTTATGGGGTGTCCCCTCACTGTGGGGGAGTTGTTCCCTCACTGTGGGGGATATCCCTTCACTGTGGGAGTAATCCCTGATTTATGGGGTGTCCCCTCACTGTGGGGGATGTCCCTTCACCGTGGGGAACACTCGGGGCTGTTCCTTCAGCCTGGGCTGTGGGGCAGCGCCAGGGTTTCCCTCAGGACAGTAATGGTGATTTTTTTTCCCCTTTCCCCACCACATCGACTTCTCGGGAGAGGGGGGGAATGGCACGTAGAATCTTGATGGTAACGGGGTTGTCTCTCAACGTAAACGGACCACAAACTCTGCTCATATTTACCGTGAACGTTTAATTAAGTAACAAGCCCGGCAGTGGCGCGCCCCTCCCCGCCGGCCGCCCCCCGGCCGGTTATAAATAGAAGTGCTGAATCATAACTCCGCCGGCACCTTCCCCCGCCCGGCGGGCGCGGAGCGCGGTGCCCGGGCTGTGTGAGGGGTGCCCGCTGAGGGGCCGCCCCGCGGGGCCGCGGCCGTGCCCTGAGGGCGCGCGTGCCCGCCCGCCCGCGTGAGGCGCGGGGCGCGCTCTGTGGCGGCGGCGGCGGCGGCCGCACTTGTCCTGTAATCGATTGCCGAGCGCGCTGAGCGGCCTCTCGCCGGCTGCGGGCACCCGCCCCCCGCCGCGCCGCGCCGGCCCCGCGGGGCTGCGGGAGCCCCGGGGTGGGATCGGGAATGTGTGTGGGGCGGCCGCGCGTGGGACCGCGGGGGTGTGAGGGACCGAGCGTGAGGAAGGGTGTGAATCTGTGTCCGTGTGTGTGTGAGGGAGAGAGTGAGCGTGCGAGGGAGTGTGTAAATCTGTGTGCGTGTGTGTGCGTGTGAGGGAGGAGGTGTGAGGGGGAGACTGAGTGTGAGGGAAAGAGCGCGTGTGTGTGTGTGAGACGGAGTGTGTGAGGGAGGGTGTGTGTGCGCGTGTCTGTAGGAGGGAGGGAGTGCGCGTGTGTGTGTGAAGGAGGGAGTGAATGAGCGTGTGTGTGTGTGAGGGAGGCAGTGAATGAGCGTGTGTGTGTGTCTGTGTGTGTGTGAGGGAGGGAGGCAGGGAGGGAGCGCGGCCGCCGCCGCCGCCGCCGGATCGGTTTCTCGGGGTTTGACCAGCTGTCCCAGGCTAACCCTCTGCTCTCTGAAGATGGAGGAAGTAAAAACAGGATTACCCTTAGCTACGGCTCCTCCGCCGCCTTAGTCCCCCCACAGCCAACTGCCGTGCACAAACACACCTCCACTGGGCAGAGGGAGCCGACACTAATAAACACACAAACAAAAGGGGGATGGAACTGACTCACTGCCTGCGCGGCTGAGGTAAATCTGCGCCTGGCTTTTTATTATTTCTTTCTTTTTCTGTTTTTTTGTTTTGTTTTGTTTTTTTCCCTTCCTCCCCTCCTCTCCCTCCCCAGTCCCCCTTTCCCCGGCGGGAGGAGGGACAGCTCCGTCCGGTGCCGGGGGTACGCGGGGCTCGGTCCGTCCGTGCGGGTCTGTGTGTGCGGAGGGTCCCCGAGCCGAGCGCGGCTGTGCAGCATCCCCGCGGGCGCCGATGACTTGTTGCTGGTAGCCCAAAAAATAAAAAATAATTTAGAAAAAAAACCCACAAAGACCAGACGAGCCTGGGGCCGGAGCCTTGGCGGGTCTCCCCGGTCCGTTACCCAGCCCGGCCCCGCTGCCATTTCCCTCAGCACCCGCCGCCACCTGCGCGCCCCCGGGGGGCTGCGGCCTGCGGCGGGGGGAAGGGGGAAAGGGAATGGAATGACAAGCGAGGCAGGACTTCCATGACTTTGACAGGTTGTGGCAGGGGTGGGGAGCGGCAGAGATGAGTCGCGGAGCCCGGCGTCGCCCAGGGCCGGAGCGGGGAAGTTGGCCCGGCTCTGGTGCGCGGGGTGTGAGTGCGCCCGCCGGGCCCCCCTCGCCCCATCCCGCCCCGCGTCCCCTCACCCCATCCCGCCCTGCAGCCCCTCCGCTCCCCCCGATCCCGTGCCGATCCGTAAGGAACCGGTGGATCAAGTTTTCCTCTCTCTCTCTTTCTCCCCCTCTCTCTCCCTCTCTCCGCGCTGGTTAATCGCATTGCTGTAGCAGCGGCTGACCTCCCTCCCTCCCTCTCCCTCCCTCTCTCTCTTTTTTTTTTTTTTTTTGTTCTTCATCTTCCTTCAAAAGTATGTTCCATTCCTGAGCGAGTTTCCCCGCCGGCTCATCCCGGGGCTTCCCGGCTCCCCGGCTCCGCATGCCCCACCTGTAAGTGGCGGGGGCGGGTTTCTCTCCCCTATCCCTCTCTCCCTCCCCGTCTCTCTCTCTCCCCCCGCTCCTCCCGCCTATAAAAAAATATTTTTCCTAAACTTTCTCCATCTTTCTGTGTCTTCAGCTCGAGCGAAACACTCTCCCTCCATTCGTTGTGGAGAGAGAGGTTTAGCAGCTGGGATTTGCCATCACCAGCCTAAAAATGGTGACCAAACTTTTTCTTTCCCCCCTCCTTTTCCTTCTCCTCTCCCCCTTGAAGAAATAAAAAAAATTAAAATCAGGCCGTGTTTTAACTTTGGTTATGGATGTTTCTGTGTTTCTTTTTGTCTTCCTTTCTCTTCCTCCTCCCTTCCTCCCCTTTCTTTCCTTCCACTTCATTGGCTGGGATGATCTTTCCCTGTTGCTTCTGATGTTTCTTTCTTTTTCTCAGTGTGTGCCTGCCTACCTGGACTAGGGGGAAGATAAGGTAATTTTGAAGGGCTTGAGGAAGTGGCTTACCTGTTCTGAAAACTTCTGGGGGTTTTTGAGATTTCTTTTTAAGAGTCATGAAAATCAGTAATTGAAGAGAGTTTGGTAGCAGCTGGGCAGGTTGAAATTTAAGTGTTATGTGCTGAATGCCTTGGGAATTTGATCTGCTTTATACCAAAGAAGAGCACAGAGAAAAGTATTTATTTATTGGGGAAAGGCGGGGAGCAGGGGGGAAGGAAAGAGGGTTGAGGGAGGGGGAGGGAAGTGGTTTTGGAGACAAGAAGTGAAGCTGCCTGTTTTCCAGTAAGTAATGGAGAAATTCCAGGAGCCAGGGCTAAATATACTTGGCGATCAATACAGAAATGGCTCATTGTGAATAATTTAGCTGCCTGGTGCAGTGAGAGTTTTGAAACTAAAGGCAAAAAAGAGGCCGTGGAGGGAGAGAGGAAATAAAATTCTCCTCTGGTCATGTCAGATTCTTAACTTTTCCACTTAAAAGAACATAGTTATGATTATTGATCCCTCTCTTATTTCCCCCCCCACACAATATATATCAAATGATAGCTAGGGGGTGTCATTCTATACAGTTACTTGGGTTTCGGGAAAGTAATAGCTTGTTCTGTGTCAGCAAAGTGCTTCCAGAAACTTTAAGATTGCTTCACACCACAAAATGTATGATCTGAGAGTTTTAAGTGTGATGTTTGGCCCCGTGCTGTGGTAGATAAATAGGGTTGGAATGAACAGGTGTGTGTACAGGTGTGTGTGTGCACAGAGGTGTGAGACAAAGAGCTGGAACAGCTCTGTTGAAGGGGAACAGACACGGGAGGGTTTATTTTGTTTAGATCAGGATGGAGTCTCTTGTAGTGTGTGTGAAAAGAGCAATTGTTAAAGGTATCCATCTCCTCAAAGTCTGTTCTGGCTGCAAGAGCGGATAAAGCGTTACCATCCCAGCTTGAACAAAACAAGCGGAAAGTCAGAGAAAAAACTCTCAAATCGGGCAAAAATGTGAGTGGGGCACAGAGAGAGGGGGATGGTCAGATCAGGATGATCCCAGTGCCACCTGCCCAAGAGGCAGCTGCATTTCTTTACTCACATAATTTACAGGAAGAGTTCAGTGATTTGCAAACGAGCACATGCAGTGCACTTGTGTGTTTCTCTAGGCAGTGGTTGCAACAGCAGTAAAATGGGCAACTACTTAGGGCTTTAAGTAAGTTTAATCATTTAATGGTTGATACTGACAGGAGTCTCTGAGGGTGTACTTTTCTGCCTTGCAGCACTGCACTTTGACTATGGAAGCAGAGGCTGCTGATGGATATATAACATGTAAGTAGTCATTTCATTTGATTGTTCTGAATTACTTTTCTTTTCTCACTATCCTTTCTATAATGCAGTCACCTGAAACTTTAGGTTCCTTATGTATGGTCTTTGCATTGATACTGAATTAATAGCATTTAAATATAAACTCTCTGTATGACTGAGAAGTGCATGGGGATGGGTGCATGGGTGAGTATCTCTAGGTTTGAATGTTTGCTGAGGGTAAATGAACGTAGCAAATGAGAGAGAGTTTGTCTTCAGAAATTCAAATTGCAGCCAAAACCTTTTTATGCCTTTCCCTATGCATTTCTCTTGTTTTCTTTGTGGGGGTTTCTGTAAGTGCTTTGTTTGACTGTCAGTTAACCCTGAGCTTTGGGGGGAAGGTCTCTATGGTGAAGTACTGTTCCAGTCTTCCCCTGCCCAGCCTGGATTGTCGGTGTCTGCTAATGGAAAAGTAATCCCAACTCGCTTGAAACCGAGCAGCTGGGGCAAAGTTTGTCACAGGTGTGTGTGTAAAAGACTGGTGACTGGTGGTCGAACATTTGTTTGTGTCCAGTGGGAGTCCAGATTTTACAAGCTCTGGGAAGACCCCACCAGTAAAGGGAGGGAAGAGCAGGGGCGAAGGGAGCGAGCAGGTTGTGGTTCTTGATCTTTGTGCAACTCTGCTGAAGAAGGGGATGGAAACTCACGGGGCACTTGTTTTGTGCCCACAGGTGACAATGACTATTCTCCTGAGAGGGAGCACTGTGGCATGGCCATTGACCTCACCTCCAGCACTCCCAATGGCCAGCATGCCTCCCCCTGTCACATGGCAAGCAGTAAGTCTCCTCTTAAGCCTGTTTCTCTCTAGCAGAGGGTTGGGTTGGTCTGGTCCTCCGGGTCCCCAGCTTGCTTACCGGGTCTTAACCACTGCTGTAGGCATTGCTAATAACAGAGGAGGACAAGGGAATTCTGTTGGGTTTTGTTTTGTTGGTTTTTTTCTTTCTTTGGTGTCTCATCTAAACATGAACGGGATTACTAGTCTGAACTATCCTAAGGTGGCATTTGAGAGCTGGTCCTTACCTGTTCCAGGTAGGAAAACACTAGGTTTGACATATGCTGGTTTTGTTTCCTCAGGTTTTGAAATCCAAATGGAAGTTGGTGTTGTTATTATTACTTACTGTGCTTCCCGAAACAGCTTGAAGTAGCTGTATTTGAAAACAAACACATTTTATTTACAAAAAAGCTTCACTCTGGCAAAAGTATAAAGTTAAAATATCTGGGTTTGATGATAGGTTGTATTTTACTGTTCCATACAGTAGCTTCAGCATCCTATTCATACTTCAACTTTGCCTTTGCAAGTCCAAAAGTGGCTGAGATAATTGGGAGTTTATGGCACTTGGTCGTTGACTCTAACAAACTGAAAGGATTTTGGTTTAGAATGTCGGGGAGAAACTGAGAAAATGTAGAGTTTTGGGAGTCTACTGAGAGTGTCAAGTGCTGATAATATTTCTGTAATTATTCTCATGCTGTCTATTGGAGGTGGATAAATATAGTTTACACGCATTTCATAAAAGCAACGCTCTCTCTTTTCTGTGTGTGAGTGCTGTAGGTTGTTTTACTGGTGGCTACAGTGTTACATCAAGATATTTACCTTAATGTAACCTCTCTACTTGTATTCAAGAAACCATGTAATATGCTTTGCTTCCAACATACTTAATTTTCTTTCTGGTTTGTGTGTGCTATAGATACATATCTGTCTTTTTAAACAGGGTATTTGTATAATTCCCCACCAAAAACTGTACGAAAAAAAAATAAAACCAAAACCAGAGCTTTTAGGGTTGCTTGCTTGAAAATACACAGTATATTGACTTCAAAGTCTTTCTGATTGAGAAAAAGATGTTACTTTCCTTAAGAATTCTTTCCTCCTGCAAATTATGAGTAAAACACAGTTTTATGAGCCTTTAAAAATGAGGGTTATTATGAAGATCTCCCAATTATATACATGTTGCTGGAGAATATGATTGGTAATACTGTGGACTGAACTTTATATGACAACCGCCCATAATTCAGCATCTTTAGACAATTCCAGTTGTACTGCACTGGGAGTCTGATATACTTTATTATGTTGTAAAAGTTTTACTACTCACTTTCTTCATTTTCTTTGTTTCCTTTTTATTAATGGGAAGGCTTCATTGGAAGGGAAAAAATCTCCGTGTTTTAAATCTTCTTTATAATCTAGACCAAAAATCGGAGTCAAATTGGGGAATAAAAAGATCTGGGATGAAGCAATGCAAAAATTCTGTAACACATTCAATATTTTCCTGTTCATTGTGTTAACATTTTCAATGTTTTTTAAGCTTTGTTAGTTCTTGCAACACGCCTGTATCTGCAGCCTTGGTGATTGTCTTGTTTTTTTAGAGGTGTTTTTTGGTCTCTCACAGGTGTCTCAAATGCTTTCATCGCTGCTGCTCTGTGTTAAGCATGTGCTGCTGTTGAAAAATTAAGGGCTCTGCCTGACTTTCCCAAGCCAAGCAAAACTCAAGCTTCTTAAATTTGTTGTAATTTATTTGCTCTTTGCAGGCTTAAGAATGTTTTTCAGAGAGGCGGTTTGTGCTGCCTTAAACATGGAAGGTATTGATCAGAGGTTGTCGGCTTTTGTGGCAGCTGTTATGTTGGTTCATTTAAGGTTTTTGGCCAAATCTTGAATCTGGCATGTGTAGGCTAAATCTCCAGGCTGTGCTTTAGAGCTTTCCACCTGTTTTGCGGGGCATGGGAAATCCTTTTAAAGGTTTGGTAGCCCAGGGACCCGTGACCTCTTTTTTTTTTAAAGGAGTGGTGGGGATGGGCAGGTAAGGAGGAATAGCTGTTTGAAATATTTTTTATGAATTGGGTAGCTCCAAGTGGATTGATCCATTGTTTTAAGTGGAAGAAGTAGCAGTGTTATATTTCTGTATGGTTTGATGTCCAGTGGGTCACTGCAGACTCAGCGATGTTGGCTGCTGTTATAGTGAAGCCCAGAGCATATCATGCTGGCTGGGTAGGGCTTCCTAATGGAGGAGGTGGTATGGGGATCAGACCCCAAATTCCAAACATTTCACTCCTGGTTTGGTTGCTCGTCATCCCCAGAAATGGATGGCCCTATTTGGCTGTGTGCTCTGGATGTGCACCTACAAGGTAGAGATCTAAGTTTTCGTCTTTGTTCTTGCATTCCATTAAATTGTTTTGAACCACAGCTCTTAATTTAGTCTGAATTTGTGTCTGACTCAAAAGGAGAAACACCATGAGAAGGAAATTTCTTGGATCAGCACCGAAATGACTGAGTAGTGCTCTCCCAGCAACAGCAAAATTATGTGCTGGGTAAAGAGTTTTTTAGTTCATTAGCCCCTGGCAATCTGTGTTACTGCTTCTGTCTGGGCTACTGGTGTTTTCAGGTTTGATTCAAAAAGGTTTTGGGTTAAATGTTTTGGCTACTGCATCTTTTAACCTATTATCATTTTCAAGTATCTAGATTATATTTGTGGGTTATGGATGGGGCTGACACTCAATTTTCCTTGTGAATGAGGTGATCCTGAAAGATGAATCACGCTAAATCGCCTGTCATAGCTAACTGATGATCTTACATATACCTGCCTTTCGCAGAACACTGCATGTGTGTTGGCAGATGCTCTGTTCTGAAACACTCTATTGTAGTTTTATGTAAGCAAAGATTTCAAATACATGTAAATAGTCAAATCTAATAGGTTGATAGATCATCTCACTTCTCTCTACAGCGAAAGACAAATTAGTGTTATACCTGCTGAGTGTAGATGATATATTTACATAGCCCCAAATCTGGAAGTCCAGGTTTTCTTCTGATCTTCTGCAGGAAAACTCTTCCAAAGGCTGACACCCAGAGCTGGGCGTCAAAGGCCTGCTCAATTAACTTTGTGTTGGTACTAGAGGGTTCTCTGCACGGCCCCAAGCCCTCCTGCAGACCCCACCGAGTTCAAGGGAGTCAGTCTTGTTGCCTTCAGTGAGTGTTAAACTGGGCTATAAGTGATCAGAAACCTCCGAATGGGAGCCGGCATGCTAATTAAAGGCTAATGGGGAATCCTTATAAAAGAGGCTTTAAAAAGAAATAATTCCCAGTCACCTCCTCATAATACCACACTGAGTTCTTACTGCAGTTATTAGAGATATTTTTTTTCCCTGTAGGTTAAAATGGACTTAGAGGAATGTCTGCTTTAGAGACTGCAGGGGCACAGTCATTCAATTAGTTGACTCAATCAATTCTTTGTATAGGATGAAGGATACTTCTCTAAGATCACTTGCCTGGTATCATATGGAAAATAGTAACAGCAGCTATTAGCATCTGACAGTCAGTGGCAGAGGCAATTTCCCCTTAAATTAGAGACTTGACAGTGGGTGTCCCAGTTAACTTTCTTATCTTTCCTTTCACAGACAAAAGGAGCCCTTAAATGAAACAGTCAGAACAATCATAAATATCAAACCCAACATCTGATGTTTCAAACTGATTAAAATTGTGGTACACTTTCAAGAGGTGTTTATAGTAGCTTGAAGTGTTACTAAGTTATGAGAATTAATTTATTAAGAAAATGAGCCATGTCGGGTGACTCTGTTGCAGAAAATAATGAGGGGACTGCATTTTCTTTGTGGTGGGTAACAATCACTCTGTCTGACAAGATGGCTAATTGGGACAACAGTATTAAGTGTAAATGATTTCAGCAGTGATATTTAAAGTGAACTTGGGCAAGGTTTTATTATAATGTGACCAATACTATATTCCCAGTGATCAGGGTGGACTATCAGTTGCACTGCTTTTTTGTAACGTCAAAGCCCCAAATCTTTCTTGATTACTTTCATTTTTCAACTCTGAATTGTTATACAACCCCTGTTTTGTCACAGTTATGTTGCCCCTAGGAGAAAGTTATGTGTACCATAGCTGTATCAGCACATCTGTAGGGATGAAGAAACGTAACTGTGGAGCCTGCCTTTTGGAATGAAACTGTGTAAAATTAGACATTGTTCCATGCCTCCATGGCAAACAAGCCTTACCATCAGCAGATTCCCCTGCCCAGGCACATGAGGCTGGACCTTACACTGGGATTCTTTTTGGCTCAGTATGTGTTGTGTTTTATTTAGTAGGATGAGGTGATGAAGGCTGAAGCTCTGCAGGAGGCTTTTCTTTAGGGAGGGTGGTTGAAGCTGGTTGGACTGGGCTGCAGAGGGGGACTGAATTAGTGCTTTGAGGCAGTCACTCCCCTGACACGTGCACTGGGGCACGAAGAATTCTGTCTCCAAAACTTCTGTGCTCTGAACCAGGGATTTAGGTCTCCAGTTCCTCCAAATATCTTGGAAAGTGTGAAACATGGCATATGGTGCTAAAAATTCAGACCAGATTACCTCAAGATGCTGAGGAATCTCCTCTCCTCAGCAGTGTTAAGGGGTAGGGTAGGCAGCATCTATTGGTCTGGGTATCTTTGATCCTGCCTCAGTGCAGGGAGGTGGACTTTTGACAGTCACTTGAGATGTCCTTTGGTCTTCTGTGTCTGACTTTGCAACCTTGACAGTTTGTTTGGGGAGCTCAGCTGTGGAATTGCATGATGATGCCCGATACAGACATACCTGTGGTTTTGCAGGTTGAAGGACAGTGAAGATGGACTTTGCCAAGATGAGCTCAGACATGAGGGATGAGCTCAATAAAGTCTGGCAGGGAACTGTAAGTAGTGAGGTCCTTTGTCACTCACGAGCACTGTCTGTGCTTCAGTCTTTTATCTTAGACTCCCTGAGAATTTCCAGGGCAATAAGTCATCAAAGTTTTAGCCAATGGATTTAG